AGTAGAAATTATATGTGAATTTAGGTCTGCCAGGTAAGAAAACATGTGCTTTTAAAACTACATCACCTAATACATATACCAGGTTTTCTTCCCATCCCGTGGCTGCTCAGCCCTAAACCTGGGCTCCACATCATCAGAATTGTCACCATCCTTATCCTCATCACCATCATGGATATCAGGGAGTTTTTCTACAGGGCTTTCCTTCCTTTTCCACCTTGCTTCCTTACCTAAGAGCACTTACCACACAGGTGTGGTTCTGGTAAGGAGAGGCGTGGTTCCACGGACTGAGACAGGGAAGCTATTGGGGTAGTGGCCTTGGGCAGGGGTGGTGGTGGTGATGGTAGTGGTGGGAATGGTTTGAGGCTGGACCGGTTCATTGCCCCATGAGTATCCAGAGGCCTCACAAATCACACTTGGTCCAGACAGCTGAAGCTGGAGGGAGGGCAGACGCTTGGGAGAGCCTCCTTTGGATTCTTCTGGAACTTCCAGCTTTTCCTCTTTTGGCTCACTCCAGCTCCAGGGTAAATAGAAGGCCTGGTATTCATTTCATGTAGGCCAGAGAGTAAAATTAGAGTGCTGTTTACCTCTAATACTAGGAGTGAGAAGACTTGAGTTAACTCCAGGTTCCACCATTACTAGTTAGGAGACAGGGAGTAGGTTATTTAACTTATCAGACTCTCATCTATGAAATGAGAATAACAGCACCGACATTATTATGTGGTTCTGACAAACGCATGAGATAACATGTACGAAAGCCCCTGTAAGCTGTGAAGCAGTATAGGAATGCACTAAAGGAGATAATACATGTGAAGCACTTAGCACAGTGCCTGGCATGTAGAAAGTGCTCAGTAAATGGTCTCTGACAATGATGACGGTAATAATAATGTCAGTTCTCGCTATCCCTGTAAAGGGGTCATGAGTGCTCCCTTATGTTTTTCTTAGCTGTTTTCGTTACAGATCTCAAAGCAACTCACATGTTCCTCTTGTTTTTCCCTAGAGGAGCCAGTGAAAAGCAAGGGGTGAGAGGCCCAAGGAGTTCTGCAGCAGAAAACTGAGTCAAAGGTGGGTTTCCCCCGATATCTCCCTGGCTTCCAGGATTCCCTTCTCTGCCACTGGGACCTCCTTCTCTGTGGCTTCCAGGGATCGGCCTGTCTGGAAGGGATGGCTTTGGCCTACATCCTGGGTCAGTTTTGTTTCTTCTTCACATTTTGGGGGCAGAAGGGTGGAGGTCTCTCCTGCAGCTAAACTAAAAGCCCAAAACACCAGAGGAATAGAAAGGAGGGGGGAAAAAAAAAAAAAAGGAAAGAAAGCAAGCCGATAATTTCCTCGAAGGATAAACATCCGATTTTTTTTCCTCGCCCAAAATAAACATGCTAGCCACAAGGAATTAAAAGCAGAAGAGGAAAGGATGTGTCTCGATTTGGGGCTACTCGAGGAAGCTGACCTTCTATTTATTCTGGCCCTGGGCACTAACCGGAGCTGCCAATTACACTCCTGTCTGGTGGAGGTGGGGGCTGGGGGAGAAGGCCCCAGGGAGTGTGAGGTTCACACATACCCACAAAGTCCCTTTGGAGGCTGCCGTCCATGACATTGCAAATGGCCTCTCCTTTTGCTTCTTATTTTAGCTTTGCTTGCACACTTGCCTGGTGGCGTAGAACGGAGTGAGGAGTTTAAGCAGTTTCTATGGCCTGGGGTTCCTTTTGCTTTGGGCTGCTATCAAATGCCCTTCTAGAGAACAAGGATTTGGTGTCCATCACCTGGGCAGACAACTGAGTTTATCAGTGGGAGTGGAGAGCCCATTCACAAACTCAATCTCCTACTCTATTGCGTTATTCAGATTCCCGCTGCTAAAATTTTCCAACTAGTTACAAGAGTGCTCAGCCTGGCTGAGACATTGATCCGAGCCCCTCTGCCTCTCACTGAATATGGAGCATGGCGCTGTTGTTGTTGTTAGGTGCTGTCGAGTCGATTTCGACCCAAAGCAACCCTATGTACAACAGAATGACACGCTGCCTGGTCCTGTGCCAGCCTCTTATCGTTGCTATGTTTGAGCCCATTGTTGCAGCCATTGAGTCAATCCAACTCATTGAGGGTCTTCCTCTTTTTCACCGACCCTCTACTTTACCAAGCATGATGTCCTTCTCCAGGGACTGATCCCTCCTGACAACATGTCCAAGGTATGTGAGATGACGTCTCGCCATCCTCACTTCCAAGGAGTACTCTTGTTGTATTTCTTCCGAGATAGACTTGTTCGTTCTTCTGGCAGTCCATGGTATATTCAATATTTATAGCCAACACCATAATTCAAAGGCATCGATTTTTCTTCAGTCTTCCTTACTCGTTGTCCCACTTTCACATACGTATGAGGTGATTGAAAATACTGTGGTGCTAAGAAGGTAATAACCCTGTGCTCAACTGCAGCCTGCCCCTGTCATCTGGGGATCTCAAAGCACTGTGTGCATACGAGTCACCAACGTTGCTGCACCCTAGCCAAGGAGAGGGGATTATTAACTCTTGGAGGGAATCCGAGCTGAGGGGGAAGTTGGGAGAAGGCACAGAGAGGACTGGAGCTAGGAAGAGTAGGGGTTGGTGGTGGTATTGGTGGGGGTTGAGGAGCCACACATGGTTCAGGCTGTGAGTGAGACTGTAGCAGAGAGATCTCTCCCAGGAGTTGGGGTGGGAGAGCCAAGTGACCTCCAGAGGAGGTCCAGGGGAGTTAGATGCCAAAATTCCTTTCCTGGGAGAAAAGGGATAGCCTGGGAATTATTCACAGCTTTCTTAAAAGCATAAATCAGATTATGCCATCCTTCCCCCCCCCCCACCGCACACACACACTCTACTTATTATCTTTCAGTGATTTCCCATTGCTTTTAGGATACAATTCAAAACTTAAACATGGCTGCAAAGCCTAGCATGTTGTGATCTTTGCTCACCTGTTCAGCTGGTTTCCTCTTTGCACACTTCACTTCCAAACTCATGACCTTTCACTTACTGGAACATGTCATGCAAGTCCCTTTCAGCCACAGGATGTTTGCAGCTGCTGTTCCCTCTGTTTGGAATGCTCTTCAGCCCTGCTGTCATTCACTTAGTGTTATGGATTGAATTGTGTCCCCCAAAAATAAGTGTTGTAAATCCTGACCTAATGCCTGTGGTTATAATCCCATTTAGGAATGGGTTCTCTTTGTTATGTTAATGAGGCAGGATTAGGGTAGGGTGTACCTTGAGTCAATCTCTTTTGAGATATAAAAGAGATTCAACAAGCAAGTGAAAGAAACAGAGATGGGGGAAGAGAGATGCCAAGCCACATGAAGACTGCTCAGGAGCAGAAGCTCAGAAGAGACAAGGACTTTCCTCCAGAGCCAACAGAGAGAGAAAGTCTTCCTCTAGAGCCAGCACCCTGAATTCAGACTTCTAGCCTCCTAAGCTGTGAGAAAATACAGTTCTGTTTGTGGTATTTCTGTTATAGCAGCGCCAGATAACTAAGACACCTAGTTAACCCCACCCAGCCTTTCCGTCCTGAAGTTAAACATCACTTCGTCTGAGAGGCCTTGCCTAAGGCTTCAGCCCTCCCCCTCCATCATAAATCAGTCCCCTTTTACACCCTCGTAGCACTTACCACAATTTGTTATAATTTGCTTGCGTTTATCTCTGCCTGTTTCTCTCCCCTACTAGAGTGTAAGCTCCATGAGGCAAGCACCATATCTTGTCTGACCTATTTACCCGATGTATCCCCAGCACCTAGCAGAAGGTCAGGCACATGATAGGTGGCAACAGTATTTGTTAAATGAATGTTGTTGAATGTCAGAGCTGTAAAGGACCATGGTGATATACCAACTGCACTCTGCCTCTTCTTCCCACATCAGTGTCACAGCTGAGGAAGCAGAACGTTAGAGAGGAGAAGTTATTTTGCTCAAGGGCACACAGTGACTCAGTGACAGTTCAGGGCTAAGGGTCTGTACCTTCTGCCTGTCAATCTATCTCCAGCAGCACCGCCCCCCCCCCACCTTGCATTTCCTATAGACCCCCAAGCCCCAGTGCCAGGCGATCGTTGATTTTCTCTTGTTGGTTTCTGAAGACATGTAAGGAAACAAAACACCAAGCCAGACAGCACTGGATGATATATATTTTTTTTCCTTTAATCTGGAAGAGAAGGAGTCCCATACCCAGAGGCCAGCCCGTTGCAGGTAGGCACACACCTGGAAGAGGGAACCTGAGGCTTAGCATGCAGTTATCACTGCTTGGGTTTGTCCTTGGGCTCATTCTCACCTCCTCCAGGAGACTGGAGGCCTGATGAGTCCTGGTAGTTTTGGGTCAAGAACTGGGTGGATGCTTCAGGTTCATTCAAGTGGAAGCGGTTCAGAAATTTGTCCATATCCCAAGAGCCTGGAAGGAAAAAAACAGATCACAGGAAGGCAGTGAGTGAGAACCATGGACTTGAGAGCTGGAAGGGGCCTGAATGGAGACAGCAGAGGATGACCTTGGCCGTTAGGCCGAAGGGGCATAGTGCCTGGGGATGCCTTCTGGTGCCTAGCCGCAGAGGCAGCCCCTGGACATTAGCAGTGCTGGGAAGTAGCATGAATTTCTGGGTAGTCTGCTCCCTTAGAGGACAATGGGACAAGAGGCCACTTTGAATATGTCTGGCTAACCTAAAAACCCAGAGTAAGAAACTGCCCTTGGGTCTCCTTCGCCGTGCCTTTTATTTATCATAACTCTGCCTTCTCATTCATATGCAGAAAGGAAATGCCCAATCAGGTGGGCTGCCCACTTCCTCCACCCACCCCTCTCTTCCTGCATGACCCCGTGACTGAGGCCTTAATTCTTCCTTCCCTTCACACCTGGTCACCCCAGCTGCTGGGTCTGAGATAAGCAAGGGTGTCTGCGCCATTCTTTCAGTCTTCTCCCCACAACCCCAAACACCTCCTCTGCTACTCCCAGGACACCCAGTGCAACAGTGTTCCTTCCCTGGCTGTGGCAGAGGTCAACGGGCAGGGAGGACAGCCATGGTGGTTCTCTCTGCACCCGGGCACCTGGATCCTGGAGGTTGAGCAGAGCACTGGAGAGCCATCCCCAGGCTGGGGCCTGGAGAAGCCCAGTCAATGCTGAAGTCAGAGGTCCCTCCTCAAGGGGAGAAAACACAGGAGTGTAGGGGTAGGTGCATCTTCTGGGGCAAGTGTGAACAGGCCTAGTGGCAGGGCAAGGAGGGCACAGCCTGCAGCACTGGGGAGAGGCTGAGGGAAGTGGTCAGAGGCATATTCCCACGTTCTTGTTTCTTAAACCCTGGGCCCCAGGTGCCCTATGTGTATGGTTGCCAGATAAAATACAGGATACCCAGTCAAATCTGAATTTCAGATAAATGCCAAGTAATTTTGTAGTGTTAGTATGTCCTAATGAGCTGTGGT